ATATATTTAATAAAAAATAAATGTACGTATGTACAAAATTAATATTCATATTTGTTTGCAGCCTGTTGTACATAATGAAGTTTTCACTTAATTAGTTTTTCTAAATATTGGTATATTTAAAATGTTTTCACTAATTAAATTTATTTTAATTAGGGTTTTGAATTGTGTATTTCATTTTGTGAACTATTATTTCAGGACGAAAATAAATGATGCGGCAATTTATTTGTACATACACATATTTCAAAATGCAAATTAACCAGACAATAAATGAATTACTTAATAAGGTACTGAAAAAAGCTATGTTTTAAATTTATAGCGATTCGCCATCAAAAATATCTCACCAATTATATACCGTTGTGAAATTTTAGGTTAGGATACTCGAAACCTATTTAACGACTCTTCTGTTATATATTATATATAAATCTATATTATATAAAATCAGTATACAAAGTTTTTTGGAACTCATTGATTTTCCTACTGCTCCCTTTCCATGTTTTTTTTTTATTTCTATATAGCTTTATTTGTGTAGGTCTCCATGTGAGAATTTGTTTCAGTATTTAGAGCATAAGTACCTTTTATGCTCATGCGTAGAAGATTGTACATGTAGGTAAAATATCAGAGCTAACATCAAAGTTATAAAGACGATAAGCCTATCATCTTCTTTTCTATTAAAAACGCTGGAAAGGCTTCTTGATAGGTACATCAGAGACGAAGTGCTACAAGATAATCCTCTAAGCAATCGTCAATATGCATAACAATCTCTTGAATGATCTAAATAAGATTATTTCAAAGTTAATGGGAGACAAAAAGACAGCAATGGCCGCTTTTTAAGATATACAAAAGGCATTTAATAATGTTTCCACTAGCTCTTTGATAGGAGCTATGAATCGACGAGGTGCACCTGCGGTAATATGCAGATGGATAAGGGCATCCCTGGAGAATAGGACAGCCATGTTCACTTTGGGTAAAGCAACCATCAAAGCAAAAGTAGGTGGAGACTGTTCACAAGGAGGAGTTCTTTCCCCTCTACTTTGGGCAACCTTGATAGATGATCTTTTTAGAAATCTGTCCTCAAAAGGCTTTTATTGTCTAGGATACGCTGACGATATAGCAATCGTTGCTAGGGGCAGATTTGCTCAGGTGGTGTCTGAGAGAATGCAAGCAGCCCTAAATATAGTTGGCGACTGGTGTAAAGAAGAGAGACTGATAGTCAATGCTCAAAAAATACAAATTGTCAACTTCGCCAAAAAAAAAACAGCACTACAAGGCCTAAAACCACTGGTGCTGGGAAGAACAGATGTAGAAGGACTTAACCCCAAAATGACTCTATGATTATACACAAGGGTTATTAGACCCATGATAACCTATGGCTCGGTGACGTAGTGGACAAAGACGCAGCAAGTGGAAGCAATAAGGATGCTAGGTAATACACAAAGGTTAGCATGTCTGTGTATTAGGGGGCCATTAAAACAACTCCTACTGTATCGTTGGAAGTATTGCTGAATCTACCATCATTTCATATCTTTATACAGGGCGAAGCCAGATCAGTGATGCACAGATTAATCTATTCTCAGCGACACATAAGACAGATGCTTGGTACTGACAACAGATAGCTAATCGAGGAGCTAAAAGCCGATATTGTGATGGAGAACCCTATCGATGCAATAGCTACGAGATATAGCTTTAACAATAAGTTCACAATTAAGATACCAGACATGGAAGACTGGAATAAAGGTGTACCCATACAAGCTGCTGCTAGCTGGTACACGAATGGCTCAAAAATATCGGAGAGTGTGGGAGCTGGAATAGTAGGGACAAATCAAGCGATACATTTCCCAATAAGTCTATCTAAGGATGTGACAGTTTTTCAGGTGGAAATAACGGCAATCTATCACTACGTGGAAGAAATAGAAAGACAGGAAGAACGTTCTATTCAGTTGCCATCTTCACAAATAGTCAGGCAGCCCTTAAGGCACTCAATTCTGTAGAGGTAAATTCTAAGATAGTATGGGATTGCGTGTGTGCTCTAAATAATTTAGGAGACCGTAGCAAGGTTACGGTAGCCTGGTTACCGAGGCACGTGGGTCATTAATGCAATAAAAAACCAGATGAAATGGCCAAACAAGGCTCATCAACGCCATTCATTGGACCGGAAACCTTCTGCGACGTGGCAAAGTCAGTAACAATAAAGGCTACAAAAAAGTGGGTAGCTCACAAATCTCTGGAATGGTGGAGGAATTCACCAGGACAAAGACAGGTAAATAGTTCATTACAGAACATTTGCCAAAATTTACGAAAGACCTAATAAGCAAAGACAGGAAAACATTCAAAGCCATAGTAGGTCTTCTTACAGGGCACTGTAAGCTGAATAGACAGTTGAAGCTGAAGGGATTATCAGATGATGGCTTGTGCAGATTCTGTCACCTCGAAGAAGAGACAGCAGAGCACAGTTTATGTCAGTGTGAAAGCCTGCAAATATGCGGTTCTTTGCATTAGGAGAAGAACATTCACCGGCAAATAGCTACATGAAAGGTACAGTCTCGAAGCCACTAAACTTTATAAAAAGGGTCAGGCTAGAGAATTTTATCTAGGACAAGAGGACCATAATAGATCTGAAGAGGTCACAGCGGAATAGGCCAAAAGGCCATCTCTCTAAATCTATCTCTATGCCCAAGCATTTTCTAATTTCTTCATTTCTTATTCGGTTAATTGTCGAAATCGTTAGCGTTTGCCATATTACATTCATTTTCGTGGCTTTTATCTTTACTTGGTTTCTCTTTATTAATGGCTACGTTTCACATCCGTATAATAACATACTTTTTACATTATACTATTTTTACTTTATTTACATTATTTAATTAGAGACATGGACTCTAAGAAAAAGTAATAAAAACATGTTAGGATGTTTCAAAAGAAAAGAACTAAGGGGAATCTATGGAGCAGTGAATGACAATGGAGTGTGGAAAAGACGATACAACTTCGAACTTTATCGTGAAACATATTAAGAAAGAACGTCTGGGGTGGATATGGTATGTAATGCGGATGAAACAAAATAACCCACCTAGGAAAACGCTCCTTAATAAACCCATTGGTCAGGGAAGAAGAGAAAAATGGACTAATATAGCTACAGAAGCAGAAAAATGGCAAAAGTATTTCGAAGAAATATATCAAGAAACGGATAGAGAAGAAGAAAGATAAACAGTAACGAACACAGAACAAGAAGAAGAATTGACCTATAGAGAAGTGAAAGAGAAAATATACAAACTTATAAACGGGAAAACAGCGTGAGAAGACACAAAATATGTACAGAACCTATAAAATACGGTAGGGAGGCACTATACAGACATATTTATGAACTAATACAGAACATATTCTTCTTCTTGATGTGCCTATCCATTACGAATGTTGGCGATTATCATGGCAATCTTTATCTTATCTGCAGCAGCGCGGAAAAGCTGCACATATGTTGTATTGAACCAGATTCTGAAGTTATTTATCCAAGATGTTCTTCTTCTTTCTGGACCTCCAAATGTTTTTCCTTGCAGGACGGCTTGAAGGAGAGCATATCTGGATTCATTTCGCATAATATGTTCAAAGAATTGTAACTTTAGAGTTTAGATGGTGGTTAGTCCGTTCACAGGATCTTAAGTATTCTCCGATATAACCACATCTCAAATGCTTCCAGTATTCTGCACATATCTTCGTTCAAGGTCCACGACTCAACACCATAAAAAAGAACAGAGAAGATCTAGCATCCCAGCATTCTTGTGCGAGGTAGTTGTAGTACGTCACTCTTTCTACCGGGGATTGGTTGACGTAGAGTTGACCTTCCGTTATCCCTTTCTTGACTGTAATACGTGATTTTGTTCATAAGAACTTGCAGGTCTTCTAAGTTGTCCGCAAATACTATGGTGTCAACTGCATATCTAATGTTGTTTAGCCGGTAACCATTTAGTAGAATACCTTTTTCAGTTTCGTTCAAAGCTTCGATAAATATTCTTTCAAAGTACATATTGAAGACTAGAGGATTTTGCATCACCCTGGCGTGCTGTACTTGGTCAAACGCTTTCTCGTAATCAACCAGACATGCGTATACGTCGTAGTTGATATCTCTGTATCTCTGGAATAAGACTTCTACTGAAAATCCAATACTCAGTACAGAAGATATGGAGCAAAGAAATAGTGCCCAAAGAATGGAAGAAGGAAATTATAGTGACAATCCCAAAACAGGGAGACCATAAATTATGCAAAAACTACCGAGCAATTAATTCACTGAACGTAACATATCAAGTAATGACTGGGTATAATTAGAAATAGACTTACAATATATACTGAACAAAGTATAGGGGATTACCAGTACAGTTTTAGAAAAGAAAGATCCACGATAGACGCTATACATACACTAAAACAAGTGATAGAGAAAACACACGACTACAACGGAGAAACAACATATACTTTTCCTTGACTTTAAATAAGCGTTTGACAAACTAAACAGAAAAAAAATGATGTAAGACTTACAAGAGAATAATATACCAATTAATATTATAAGCAAGATAGAAAAGACAATGAGAGATTCCCAAGCAGCAATAATAGACATCGAAAGAGAAAGAACAGAAATAATAAAAATAAAAAAATGGGGTAAGACAAGGTACTATTTATTCTATCAATAGACAAGATAATAAAAAAGCTGTCAAACGTACGAACTATAAACAAGAATGCAGTACAAATAATAGGATATGCGGACGATATAACTAGAGTAGCAACAGATAAAAAGGCATGAAAAAGGATGAATGGAATTATTTACGGGAGATCTATGTTCAGCAGTGGACTCAAAACGGCTACTGATGATGATGATGAGTTACTAAATAATAATATAAACTATGAGCAACTCCCTTAGTTTAGTTTTCTTAAAATTTAAAAATATATCTTTTATGGTTACAAAAAGAGTTATGGTATGGTAGACTTTGGACGTCCACCGTATACAAGAGTATTTGCATTCTTTAATGATGATGCAACGACTAAAAAATAAGTAAGGTATTAAGTATGATGCAATTATTTTGTTCCTATAAAGATGAATTTTTGAAAACATAACTAATTACGTAGCTGTTTCGCAATTAAGATTTTGCCTTTTCTATTCGGACCGAAAATTTTATATTATGCTGTTCGATATTTTTTTATACAAAAGATTATCTTTTATTTAAACATCGGAGGTAATCACAAGTATAATGGAAAAATCATTATTAAATTACATGTATTTTTGTCTACATACAGTTATTGATTTACTTAGAAAATTAGGGATACAGCTTGGATGGCACATTGATATTTCTTATTTAAATATAAAAATAGGTGACCTAGAATGAATGCATGCAAGAATGTATTAAAGAATTTTTGAACATTAACTATTTTACCAGTTTCAACTAATATTATAAAATTATGCCCTTATTTCTAACGATACTCACCTCTTGATTCCAGGGCATATAATGGGACATCGAGGGGTCCATATGTTCCGCCATAACACTCATCCAATGGACCAGTCCTTGAGCACCCTGCCCTCCAACACCACCTGATTGTGGCCCTGAAGGATTTCCACCAGTCTGGCTGCCATCCCAACCAAATGCTTTCTGAAATAAAATAAAGATAATTAACATATTTGTCACGACAGCCTCTTTAATATTTTTGTTATAATTCGCCTGTTAAAATTTCATATCTATCAAGCGAAATATTTAAAATTCTGTTAAAATTCGCCACTTCAAATTTTGGTTCTTCATCGTTTGTGATTTTTAAATACACAAAGGAATTTTATCTTTAAAACAGCCCATTTACCAGTATTATTTGCAATTTTTTAGTTACTTTCACTGTTAGAAGCTTTATGCACTAAGTGAACTTGAACAAAGTTGTCTAATATCGGGTAATATGATGTAGTTCATTACTTCTTACCCTATGATGTAGTTCATCTCAAAGATGTTCGATGCATTCAGAGGGCCATTGATGAAGATAAGTTCAGTTTGAGCTTCAAATGAGATTCCAGCCCAAACCATGACACTACCACCGCCAAACTTTCTTCTCTGGAATATACAATATTGTGCATGTCTTTTATTTCTCCGTCTCTAAACCCTGTCTTGGCCATAGCAATTTATTAGTAAAGAGAATTTGGCTCCAATCCTGTATATCCCAGTGATGACGTTGTCGAGCAAAAATTAATTAATTAAAAAAGTTAATGGATTTCTACAGTGTCTGTTCAAGGAAGAAGATCTTTCAAGGAAGAAGATCTGTTGGCCGAAGGCAGAACTCATGGTTAAAGAATCTACGTGATTGGTACCAATGCAGATCGATTAATTTATTTAAAGCAGCAAGTTCTAAAATAAAAATAGCCATTTTGATTGCCAACCTCCGTAGGGAGACGGCACTCTAAGAAGAAGACAGTGTCTGGGTTGTAATTCGGGAACAATGGCCGGCCTTCTTCCCATTAGTCCTCCTTCATTGGGGCGACGTTTAACCTGTCTCTCGAATGGCGATTTCTTAAATCATCTCTTTGTGAGGTAACTCTTCTATGACCGGAACCAGGTCGACGTGAGTATGTATCAGTCTCGTTTCTTCTCCGTACAGAAGCACTAAGTACACGTAACATGTAAGGAGCCCTATTTTTGTTTCGAGGTTGAGGTCATGGCTCTTGAACATAAAGTTCATAGTCAAGAATGCACTTTTTGCCTTTTTGAGGCGACATTTAATCTCTTGGGTATTGCTCCATGACTCATTGACTCTTCTTCTTCTTATTCAGATGCAAATCCACTAATGGATGTTAGCGATCACATTTTCTATTAATTCTCTATTTCTTTCAATATGTATCAGATGTCGTATGTCGTTAATCCCTGTCTATTGCCTTATGTTTCGGAGCCAGGACATTTTCTTGCGTCCCATTCCTCCCTTGCCTTCAATTACCTTTAACTCATTGATTATAGTTCCGAAATAGTTGCACTGTGAGACATGTTCAATTGTCTTTAAATTTACAATTCTTCTTCTTCAGTGCATTATCCGGTTCGGATGTTCAAGATCATCAAGGCTATCATGGTTTTGTTTACTGCTTTGCGAAAAAGCTCCGCGGAGGTCATCCCAAACTATTGTCTGAGATTTTTTAACCACGAGATACGACGGGGTCTCGATCCTCTCCTGTCAAATACTTTACACTATATAACGAGTTAAAGAATTTGATATTTTTCTTTATTCCGCATCACGTGCCCGAGGTACTCAAGCTTACGTTGTTTCACTAAATTAAGCATTTCTTTTTCTTTTTCTATGCGCTGTAGGACCTCAACGTTGGTGACATATTTCACATACGATATTTTTATTCTCCTTCTGTAGATCCACATCTCAAAGGCTTCAATCCGCTTTTCTGTGGCTTGCGTCGAAGGCTTCAATCCGCTTTTCTGTGGCTTGCGTCAGTGTTCAGGCTTTAACTCCATATAGTAACAATGGAAGAATCTAGCACCTTACCATCCGCATTGGTTCCCAAACTGAGATCACTGCAGCACAGCAAGGATTTCACCTTGATGAATATAGACAGTGCCATTTCAATTCTGGATCTAATCTCTTGAGCGTAGTCCCATTGTGAGTTGAGGGTAGTTCCGAGGTAAGTGAATTTGTCGCCTCTCTGGATCTCTTCGCTACCTGACATTAGTGCCCTGGGATCTAAATTTGCGCGGTGGACAACCATGAATTTAGTTTTCTTAATATTAAGCTCTAGTCCGTATGTTACGCTCAAAGTTCTCACTCGGTCTAGTAAGGCTTGTAGATCATTTAGGCTAGTTGCTAGTAACACAGTGTCATCGGCTTCAGTAAAAATTTCCTCAGAGAATTTATTGAAAAGAGTCGACGAGAGTAGACAGCCTTGCCTTACTTCTCGCATAATCTTCACTTAGTCGGTCAGCTGGTTTTCGACATTGACTTGAGCACGCTGGTTCCAGTATAATTTCTTGATGATCCGAATGTCCTTCTCATCCAATTCTACTCTTTGTAGGGCGGCGAACATCTTCTGGTATTGACAATGTCAGATGCCTTGGCGTAGTCAATAAAACAAATATAGACATCACAACTGACATCGCAGCGTCTTTGAAGTAGGACTTCGTAGGAAGTAAGGTAAAAAGTGCTTCACATGTACCCATGGAATTGCGGAATCCAACTTGCATTTAACCGAGATTTTCTTCGGATTCCTTGTAAATTCTGGCATGTCTGATTTTAAGAAAATTCTTAAGGGAGCGACTTATAAGGCTAATAGTTCGAAAATCTTCACACATTTTCGCAGATCGTTTTTTTTTTTCTTGGTAGTGTTACAAATGTTGACAATCGCCATTCTTCTGGGATATTACTTGAATCGTATATGGTGTTAAACGGTTCAGTTAACTCCTTTGTGCTCACTTTACTCATCACCTTAATAAGTTTACCGGGTATTTCGTCCCCTTACCATTCTTAGACTGTTTTAAAGCTGCTTTCACTTTGCTTTCTAGTATTGACGTCCCTGTTATGCAATTTATTTCTGGAAAGTTACCTCGGTATTCCCCGAAAAGTTCTTCGATGTACATTTTCCAGGTCAGAAACTTTTCCTTAACGGTCGTCGCCAGGTTCCCGTCTTTGTGTGTGCGGAGGTGTATGTTTCTCCTCTTGTATTGACCAGTGGCTTCCCGAATCTTTCGGTGGATATTTATATGATCGTGTTTCACTTGTAGCTCTTTGATTAGTTTACATTTTTCTTGCATCCATGTCTCCTTGGGTCTTCGTATTTCTTTTTAAATTTTTTGGTTGATTTCTTGGTATTTCTTTGCGTCTCTATTTTTTATTAATATTCTTTGGTTCATTATCTGCAGAATGTCATCAGTTATCCATTCTTTATTTTTTACTCTTGTTTTCTTGAAGCTACATGTTGATTAGCGTGCATCCTGGTGTTAACGGAAATGTTAAGGTGACATGTGACATATGACAGCTTGGATGGGCAGTCACAACCATGGTAATGTGATCTGCACATTTTAAAATTCTATGAAACTGAGCATTAACCAATGGTCCAATTGACATTACTATAGGAAATCAACTGATGAAATATGAAATTATATAGAATATTTTAAGTAGATTGCATAATCCAGATCTCACACTCAAACATGTCTATAATAATTAGGGTGTTAGTTTGAATGCAACTGAAGTGGACGTACAGTATGAATGTAAGAAATAGACTAAACAATATATTAGATAGTGGGTGATTGACTACAATAAAAGGGTCTACCAAGCACTACCAATACTGTAGAAAAGGAAAAATCGAATTATGAAATTGAAATACAAAATATTTAAAATCAAAATTGAAAGCAGAGTGTGTAAATGGGTTATAATCCAAATAGTTCAGTTAAATCCACAGTCACCGAGAGAACCATAAAATCAAAATGTCAAAGTTTTACTCAAGACCAACTGACCAATAGTGGGAGATGTTGAAATATACAACTGTGAGATGGTATTTCTAAATAATAACTATAATAAATAAAACTATAGATCAATTGAACCTGAGCAAGCTAGTTTTGTAAATTATTGAAGAATAAAATAGTAATATTAATCAAAGTATGAAATTAATAAATTCTTAATGGGTATACTTAGTACAGGAAGTCTAAACAGCCGAGCTGGGTCCCCCACGAGGTGAAGCTGCAATAAAGTTTTTAAAAATAGGTTTAAATTTAGTATAAAATTTAAATTAATTTGGGTATTAAGAAAGTGAGTTTTCATTTGTTTCCCTTGTTATCTCCAAATCTTCCAATAAATCCAACTCCAAGTAGTTTTTCTTTCTACTAATGTCATGTAAAATAGAAGAACCAGTATTGACGTTAAAATTGTGTTTACTGAATAATAAATGTTGACCAAAACTTGAAGAGTTTCTTCTTCTTCTTCAGATGCAAATCCACTAATGGATGTTAGCGATCACATTTTCCATTAATTCTCTATTTCTTGCAATATGTATCAGAGATTGTATGTCGTTAATCCCTGTCCATTGCCTTATGTTTCGGAGCCAGGACATTTTCTTGCGTCCCATTCCTCTCTTGTCTTCAATTTTACCCTCGATTATAAGTTGGAGGAACTGGTATTTTTCATTTCGCATGATGTGACCTAGATACGCCGTTTTCCTTTTCTTGGTGGTTTCGAAAAGTTGGCGTTCTCGGTTTATTCGTTTAAGGACATCTATATTTGTGATTTTCGCTGTCCATGGTTTTTTTAGGATACGGCGATAAAGCCACATTTCGAAAGCTTTTAATCTGTTTATATCCGTCGTTTTGAGTGTTCAGCCCTCTACACCATATAGCAGCACTGACCACACGTAGCACTTAGTAAATCTTAGTCTCAGTTGAAGATCGAACTCTGAACAAGTCAGTACCTTCTTGAATTTTACGAAAGCTTGTCGAGCTTGCTCAATGCGAAATTTTACTTCCCTGCCCGATGTCCAGTCTTCAAAAAGCCACGATCCCAGGTATTTAAATTTACTCACTCTTTCAATGGACTTAGTATTCAGTGTTATGGTGGAGTTTTTAAGTGCATCCAAGTTTCTGGAGATGATCATAAATTTGGTTTTTTTGGTATTAATCTCTAATCCCATTCG